TAGATCTCACACTTGACGCCCAATCAATTTTCAATAATCAATAATTTCCTGTTTTTTCTTAAAGACTCTAAACAATGAAAGACAGGCTTTGTTTGCTTGTTGTCCAAGAGTTTCACACGCCTTTGTCTATATTAATCTTGATGAAAACACGATACTAAGATATTATTTCATTAATAACAAGCATGGGACTTAGGATACATCTTTGTCTTACTCCACGGGAGGTAACAAACGCTACTGTTCTTGAATTACCAACTTTGACACAGGCCTTCACTGATGCGTACATACTTTTAAGTAAGATCAGTAACTTTCCATGACATCCACGTTGCATTAATACATAAAATAATTTATCCCTGTCCACAAAGTCAAATGCTTTTTTAAAGTCAATGAACCCGCAGTAGAAGTGACCTTTTATTTTACCCAAATATTTGGAACACAATGCCTGTCTGGTAAATAAATGATCTGTAGTAGAATATTGGGGACGAAATACTGCTTGACTTTCTGATATTAATTCATTAAGTTCAATCCATTTTCTAAGTCGTGATTCGATTATTGTTGTAAAGACCATAATATTTAGTAGTGAAATTCCTCTGTAATTTGATGGCTCCGTCTTATCTCCGGACTTAAATAAAGACAAGATAGTTCCAATATTCCAGTGTGATGGGGATATACCCTCATCTAAGATCTTATTAAATAACAACTTCAGATATGGGATTAGAAATTCCGCTGATAGTTTAGGAAGTTCCGGTGGTACCCCATCTACACCAGGTGTCTTCCCATTGTTCAGGTTAGAAATTGCATTTTTGATTCCTATTTCAGAAATTTCCCCATCGAGATAGATGTCCTGGTTAGCTAACCCATCACAGTCATGGTACGAATGGTGTTCTAGAACGTTTTTAACATGTTCATCAAAGTCAGAGTTCGTTTCAGTTACTGTAGGATTCGATAACTTCTTAAAGTAACTCTGCCAGTCCTAAGCTTGAATCCATGAATCATTGCTTGAAGGAAATGTTTGTTTTATCCTTTTTCCAAAATTCCTTGCAATTTCCATGAATTGCTGCATCGGTGATCTCGTCTGCTTCTTTCTTATCAAATTCGATTTTCTTAAGTGTGCAACGCTTTTTAAGGCTCATTTTGATTCTATGTACTCCCTTCGATTATCGTCACAGTTGAATTTCCTTAATTTGTGAAGACATCTATATTTCATTACTTTTAGTTGTTGGCAATCGTTATCAAACCAGGGTGGCTGTTTAATAGTCATTCGAACATTAAAAACGGTCGATGTGAGTTGTCTCCCTGTAGCAGCGACAATATATGACAGTTTGCCGACAGCACGGTTGATATCACCATCTAAATATTCCATGAATTCTGAAATCATCCCCATCACTTTGTCAGAAGTATACACATCAATGAAATGTTGTCTATCGCTATTGCTATAAACATATCTTGGCACTTTCAGAAGAGGTATACTAGGTGCAGCTTGGCTCGTCACAGGCTTGATGACGTCACTAAGGTGACATGATATAAGGAGATGATCAGACTCTGATCTCGGTACTACACTCATGTCGTGAATTCTAGAAAATAGTTCACTCGATACTAGTACATAGTCAACGACGCTGGCTCCAGAATGCAAGATGAATGTAAAATTGCCAAGCATATCACCCGGTTTCCTTCCATTCGCAATATGAAGGCTAAACACTTTGCACCAGTTGAGGAGACTTCTACCAAAATTATTTGTTTGTTTATCACATGATAATCTTTTTATGTCAAAACAGTCTTCCCTATAGTCTTCCCTGTAGTCTTCCCTATAGTCTTCCCTGTAGTCTTCCCTGTAGTCTTCCCTATAGTCTTCCCTGTAGTCTTCCCTGTAGTCTTCCCTGTAGTCTTCCCTGTAGTCTTCCCTGTAGTCTTCCCTATAGTCTTCCCTGTAGTCTTCCCTGTAGTCTTCCCTGTAGTCTTCCCTGTAGTCTTCCCTGTAGTCTTCCCTATAGTCTTCCTATAGTCTTCCCTGTAGTCTTCCCCTGTAGTCTTCCCTATAGTCTTCCCTGTAGTCTTCCCTGTAGTCTTCCTGTAGTCTTCCTGTAGTCTTCCTATAGTCTTCCCTATAGTCTTCCCTGTAGTCTTCTTCCCTGTAGTCTTCCTATTAGTCTTCCTGTAGTCTTCCCTGTAGTCTTCCCTATAGTCTTCCCTGTAGTCTTCCCTGTAGTCTTCCCTGTAGTCTTCCCTGTAGTCTTCCCTATAGTCTTCCCTGTAGTCTTCCCTGTAGTCTTCCCTGTAGTCTTCCCTGTAGTCTTCCCTGTAGTCTTCCCTGTAGTCTTCCCTGTAGTCTTCCCTGTAGTCTTCCCTGTAGTCTTCCCTATAGTCTTCCCTGTAGTCTTCCCTATAGTCTTCCCTATAGTCTTCCCTGTAGTCTTCCCTATAGTCTTCCCTATAGTCTTCCCTGTAGTCTTCCCTATAGTCTTCCCTATAGTCTTCCCTATAGTCTTCCCTATAGTCTTCCCTATAGTCTTCCCCTATAGTCTTCCCTGTAGTCTTCCCTATAGTCTTCCCTGTAGTCTTCCCCTGTAGTCTTCCTATAGTCTTCCCTATAGTCTTCCTGTAGTCTTCCTATAGTCTTCCCTGTAGTCTTCCCTGTAGTCTTCCCTGTAGTCTTCCCTATAGTCTTCCCTGTAGTCTTCCCTGTAGTCTTCCCTGTAGTCTTCCCTATAGTCTTCCCTGTAGTCTTCCCTATAGTCTTCCCTATAGTCTTCCCTGTAGTCTTCCCTATAGTCTTCCCTATAGTCTTCCCTATAGTCTTCCCTATAGTCTTCCCCCTGTAGTCTTCCCCTGTAGTCTTCCCTGTAGTCTTCCCCAGTCTTCCCTGTAGTCTTCCCTATAGTCTTCCCTGTAGTCTTCCCTATAGTCTTCCCTATAGTCTTCCCTGTAGTCTTCCCTATAGTCTTCCCTATAGTCTTCCCTATAGTCTTCCCTATAGTCTTCCCTGTAGTCTTCCCTGTAGTCTTCCCTGTAGTCTTCCCTGTAGTCTTCCCTGTAGTCTTCCCTATAGTCTTCCCTATAGTCTTCCCTATAGTCTTCCCTGTAGTCTTCCCTATAGTCTTCCTATAGTCTTCCTATAGTCTTCCTATAGTCTTCCTATAGTCTTCCTGTAGTCTTCCCTATAGTCTTCCCTATAGTCTTCCCTATAGTCTTCCCTATAGTCTTCCCTATAGTCTTCCCTATAGTCTTCCCTATAGTCTTCCCTATAGTCTTCCCTATAGTCTTCCCTATAGTCTTCCCTGTAGTCTTCCCTATAGTCTTCCTGAAGTGGCAAATGTTGAGTATCATCGTTTAAAATAAAATCTGATTCTTCAGCAGTCCGTGCATTAAAGTCACCAATAATTATCAATTTAATATCATCTCCGAAGACTGACATAATGTGTAGTATTTCTTTTCAAGAGAGGATATACCACCATCATCTGAGTCTGCGTACACATTTGCATATTCTGGGTGAATACACAAAAACAAAACTAATATATTTTCCGAAAATGCACTCATATTGAAAACAATTATGTTGGACCATTGTTCATAGAATCTCTGAAAGTAAGATGAAATATTTTGTTTAGCGCACACACTGATCCCTCCTGAGAATCTTCCACGATCACTAGCACGTCTAGCGTCTGAAATTTAATACCTATAATGCTGAAATATATCATTAAGTTTAGCTGATAAGTCAAATGAGTGTGGGCACATGGTTTCTATAAAATGTGCAAATGTCATAATTTTCTATCTTTGATTGCAGGCCATGAATATTCCAAGAGAGAAAAGACAATAAACCAGTCACTATGATTAGTTTGTGTGTTGTCAGTATCATGTGATTGTCTATCAATTTTGTTATTTGACATTTGTTCAGTTTGCGTTGTATCACAATTACTAGAGTTAGTAAAGGCTGGGTTATTTAGCTTTGATGTAGACTCAGTGTAATGTCTTTGCATTGTCTAGAAGCTGTGTGCCCTGGGACACGGCCAGTCCCCTAGTAGGTTGATGTAGACTGACTGTCAGGGCGTGTTGATGTAGACTGGCTGTCAGGGCGTGTTGATGTAGACTGGCTGTCAGGGCGTGTTGATGTAGACTGGCTGTCAGGGCGTGTTGATGTAGACTGGCTGTCAGGGCGTGTCGATGTAGACTGGCTGTCAGGGCGTGTCGATGACTTGGCTGCAGGGGGATCTCGTCTGTCCCAGTTCTCTCTGATCGACTTGCTTGATCTCTCCACTGGAATCATCGTAGGCATACACTGACCCTCAATGATAAGTTTATCATAACTGAGAAATGAAAACTTTCCTTCACTTCTGGCCTTCTCAATCACTGGGAATAGTTGAGATCTCACCCACCGTACCCTCTCAGTGAGATCTCACCCACCGTACCCTCTCAGTGAGATCTTCAGACACACGATGTTGTTTGTCACCTTTGAAAATTTGTGTGGAAGATTTTACGACTCTTTGTTTGTCTTTAAAGTTTGAGAATTTAACAATAATTGGTTGAAGGACATTTGTAAGTAATGACATGAAACTAACATTGCAATGTATAATACCAACAAACACACAGCTCGGTTGACGGACATTTGTAAGTAATTGTGTGAAGATATCATTGTAATGAAGCAGATGTAAAATGACACATACACTACTCGCTCGACCTGCATTTGTATGTAATGACTTGAAAATATCATTGCAATGTATTATTACTTACAAACACATTGCTCGCTTGACGGACATTTCTAAGTAATTGTATGAATATAACATTGTAATGAAGCGCATGTTGTATTACACACACACACACACACACACACACACACACACACACACACACACACACACACACACACACACACACACACACACACACACACACACACACACACACACACACACACACACACACACATACATACATACATACATACATACATACATACATACACACATACACACACACACACGCCTGACAATTGTACATAAGTAATTACTTACACACACACAGCTCGCTTGACGCGGCAGCTGCCTAGCACCACTGATCCATTAGCCAGACAGTGAGGGTGCTGATCCTTTCTGCACCCAGACAGGCCCTGTGCTACAGCCATCCTATATTTCTTGCAGTAGTCGTCTAACAGATCCTTCCCAAACTGAAGCCTGGCCAGAGTGTGTGTGTCGTGACGGAGGACATCCTTTGGGTTGCCAGCAACACGTTGAACAGCCACATCCTGACGACTGCCGCTCTCTTAAACGAATAACGGTTTTCTAAACCAAATGGACGGATGCAAGTAAAGCCAACGCTGGGCTATTACAACGTGTGCTAGAATACTTGTACGCCAATCTCCATAAATGATATAACAGAACCTCACCATCACTACAGTTTGATGTTGTTGTTTAACGCCGTACTCAGCAGTCCAGCTACATGGCGATTGTACGAGAGAATCCAGTGATCAACAGCTTAAGTATCATATAGAACAAACTTTATGGATAACAACTTCTTTTTTTCGTGAGTGCGACGTTTCGATACAGATTCTTGTACAGTTGTCAAGCTAATGGGACATGAAGAAGGGGCAAAGTTTGTTCTATATTGTACTTCCCAACTTCTAAAATGCCACTCAAAGAAGCTTAAGTATCGATCTAACGCAATTGGGACACGATAACATGTGCCAAACCAAGTCATTGACCACCCGATCCCGTAAGTCGCCTCTTACGACAAGCATGGGTTGCTGAAAACCTGCTGCTTGGAATAAACACTGGTGGTATGGAAAAGATATACAACTCGCCAATATTACATGTAGTACAATAGCACGATGCCAGTACCACAGATAAGGACCACAGCTGTGCAACACGTGACATTACACAAACTCTCGAGTACACCACTTGAAAATAAACATACACTTAGTCATGCACTTGACATTACAGAACATCTGCTGTACGACAGTTCAAATTTTGTGAATTTCCCACCAATAAGGGTAAAATTAGAGGACCATTCTATTACTACTACAGCTCTAATTACGGAACCATTGCAATACAAGCAATAGCGTGTGTGTAATTCAATGATCTAAATTTGAGAACACATTTAAAGTGTCAAAGGTCGAATATTGTCTGTACGTATTGTCTGGGTGCAATATTTTTTATTATTGTTTTAGTTGCATGTTGCTTGATCTACATACTACAGTTTAGGTTGCATATTACTATGCTTGATTTACATACTACAGTTTAGGTTGCATATTACTATGCTTGATCTACATAGTACAGTTTATGCTTGTTGCATACTACTTTAGGTTGCATATTACTATGCTTGATTTACATACTACAGGTTAGGTTGCATATTACTATGCTTGATCTACATACTACAGTTTAGGTTGCATATTACTATGCTTGATTTACATACTACAGTTTAGGTTGCATATTACTATGCTTGATCTACATACTACAGTTTAGGTTGCATATTACTATGCTTACATACTACAGTTTACTACATGCTTGATTACATACTACAGTTTAGGTTGCATATTACTATGCTTGATCTACATACTACAGGTTAGGTTGCATATTACTATGCTTGATTTACATACTACAGGTTAGGTTGCATATTGTTGCATACAGTTACTATGCTACAGGTGGTTGCATTACATACTACAGTTTAGGTTGCATATTACTATGCTTGATCTACATACTACAGTTTAGGTTGCATATTACTATGCTTGATCTACATACTACAGTTTAGGTTGCATATTACTATGCTTGATCTACATACTACAGTTTAGGTTGCATATTACTATGCTTGATTTACATACTACAGGTTAGGTTGCATATTACTATGCTTGATCTATTACATACTACAGTTTAGGTTGCATATTACTATGCTTGATCTACATACTACACAGTTTAGGTTGCATATTACTATGCTTGATCTTTACATACTACAGTTTAGGGCTGCATATTACTATGCTTGATCTACATACTACAGTTTAGGTTGCATATTACTATGCTTGATCTACATACTACAGTTTAGGTTGCATATTACTATGCTTGATCTACATACTACAGTTTAGGTTGCATATTACTATGCTTGATTTACATACTACAGTTTAGGTTGCATATTACTATGCTTGATTTACATACTACAGGTTAGGTTGCATACACTATGCTTGATTACTATGCTTGATCTACATACTACAGTTTAGGTTGCATATTACTATGCTTGATTTACATACTACAGTTTAGGTTGCATATTACTATGCTTGATCTACATACTACAGTTTAGGTTGCATATTACTATGCTTGATCTACATACTACAGTTTAGGTTGCATATTACTATGCTTGATCTACATACTACAGTTTAGGTTGCATATTACTATGCTTGATTTACATACTACAGTTTAGGTTGCATATTACTATGCTTGATTTACATACTACAGTTTAGGTTGCATATTACTATGCTTGATTTACATACTACAGGTTAGGTTGCATATTACTATGCTTGATTTACATACTACAGTTTAGGTTGCATATTACTATGCTTGATCTACATACTACAGTTTAGGTTGCATATTACTATGCTTGATTTACATACTACAGGTTAGGTTGCATATTACTATGCTTGATCTACATACTACAGTTTAGGTTGCATATTACTATGCTTGATTTACATACTACAGGTTAGGTTGCATATTACTATGCTTGATTTACATACTACAGGTTAGGTTGCATGTTGCTTGATCTACATACTACAGTTTAGGTTGCATATTACTATGCTTGATTTACATACTACAGGTTAGGTTGCATATTACTATGCTTGATTTACATACTACAGTTTAGGTTGCATATTACTATGCTTGATCTTACATACTACAGGTTAGGCTAGGTTGCATATTACTATTGCTTGATCTACATACTACTACAGTTTAGGTTGCATATTACTATGCTTGATCTACATACTACAGTTTAGGTTGCATATTACTATGCTTGATCTACATACTACAGTTTAGGTTGCATATTACTATGCTTGATTTACATACTACAGTTTAGGGTTGCATATTACTATGCTTGATCTACATACTACAGTTTAGGTTGCATATTACTATGCTTGATTTACATACTACAGTTTAGGTTGCATATTACTATGCTTGCATATTACATATTACTATGCTTGATCTATATACTACAGTTTAGGTTGCATATTACTATGCTTGATTTACATACTACAGCTTAGGTTGCATATTACTATGCTTGATTTACATATATTACTATGCTTGATCTACATACAGTTTAGGTTGCATATTACTATGCTTGATTTACATACTACAGCTTAGGTTGCATATTACTATGCTTGATCTACATACTACAGTTTAGGTTGCATATTACCTGCTGCTTGATCTACATACTACAGGTTTAGGTTGCATATTACTATGCTTGATCTACATACTACAGTTTAGGTTGCATATTACTATGCTATGATTTACATACTACAGTTTAAGGTTGCATATTACTTGCATATTACCATGCTTATCTACATACTACAGTTTAGGTTGCATCTACATACTATGCTTGATACACATACTACAGTTTAGGTTGCATATTACTATGCTTGATTTACATACTACAGTTTATTTGCATGTTGCTTGATCTACATACTACAGTTTAGGTTGCATATTACTATGCTTGATTTACATACTACAGTTTAGGTTGCATATTACTATGCTTGATTTACATACTACAGTTTAGGTTGCATATTACTATGCTTGATTTACATACTACAGTTTAGGTTGCATATTACTATGCTTGATCTACATACTACAGTTTAGGTTGCATATTACTATGCTTGATTTACATACTACAGTTTAGGTTGCATATTACTATGCCTGATCTACATACTACAGTTGAGGTTGCATATTACTATGCTTGATTTACATACTACAGTTTAGGTTGCATATTACTATGCTTGATCTACATACTACAGTTTAGGTTGCATATTACTATGCTTGATTTACATACGACAGGTTAGGTTGCATGTTGCTTGATCTACATACTACAGGTTAGGTTGCATATTACTATGCTTGATTTAGATACTACAGGTTAGGTTGCATATTACTATGCTTGATTTACATACTACAGGTTAGGTTGCATATTACTATGCTTGATCTACATACTACAGTTTAGGTTGCATATTACTATGCTTGATCTACATACTACAGTTTAGGTTGCATATTACTATGCTTGATCTACATACTACAGGTTAGGTTGCATATTACTATGCTTGATTTACATACTACAGTTTAGGTTGCATATTACTATGCTTGATTTACATACTACAGGTTAGGTTGCATATTACTATGCTTGATCTACATACTACAGTTTAGGTTGCATATTACTATGCTTGATCTACATACTACAGTTTAGGTTGCATATTACTATGCTTGATCTACATACTACAGGTTAGGTTGCATGTTGCTTGATCTACATACTACAGTTTATGTTGCATGTTGCTTGATCTACATACTACAGTTTATGTTGCATGTTGCTTGATCTACATACTACAGTTTATGTTGCATGTTGCTTGATCTACATACTACAGTTTAGGTTGCATATTACTATGCTTGATCTACATACTACAGGTTTAGGTTGCATATTACTGTTGCTTGATCTACATACTACAGTTTATGTTGATCACATACTACAGTTGCATGTTGCTTGATCTACATACTACAGTTTATGTTGCATGTTGCTTGATCTACATACTACAGTTTATGTTGCATGTTGCTTGATCTACATACTACAGTTTATGTTGCATGTTGCTTGAACTACTTACTACAGTTTATGTTGCATGTTGCTTGATCTACATACTACAGTTTATGTTGCATGTTGCTTGATCTACATACTACAGTTTATGTTGCATGTTGCTTGATCTACATACTACAGTTTAGGTTGCATGTTGCTTGATCTACATACTACAGTTTAGGTTGCATGTTGCTTGATCTACATACTACAGTTTAGGTTGCATACTACTTGATTTACAAACTACAGTTTATGTTGCATGTTGCTTGATTTACATACTACAGTTTAGGTTGCATATTACTATGCTTGATCTACATACTACAGGTTAGGTTGCATGTTGCTTGATCTACATACTACAGTTTATGTTGCATGTTGCTTGATCTACATACTACAGTTTATGTTGCATGTTGCTTGATCTACATACTACAGTTTATGTTGCATGTTGCTTGATCTACATATTACTA